TTTTTTTAACCTGAAAGGAATAGGCATTTTTTTTTCAGTTGAATTTGTAAAAATGCCTTACAATTTACTTCCTTTCCACATAATTGCTGATTTAAGTGATTTCGCACGATTGTTCAAACACTGAGTTTTGTGTCATTTAAAATATGAATAGTGTTCCAAAGCAACTTTAACGGAGAGCAGAAGCCTGAGGCCCCCTTGACCTGCAAAGGGAAGCCCTTGAAGGCCCAGTGGTTCTCCCTGAGGAGCCTCCCTCTGCTGGTGTCCTACCTGCTCACATCCGACATGGAGGAGCCTTTACACTGAGAGAAGCCGCAGCCCTGGAGAGCTGGCGTATGCGGGCACATGTGTGTGTGGGGAGGGTGACACCCCTCCTGAGGTTGTGGTTTCTTAGGCCTAGACATTTTCAGACATTTTGTTTGAGTTTTCTATCCACAGTGTAGGCGTACTGAGTGTAATTTGTGCATATGGAGAAGCCTGTGTAGAACAGGGGTTCTGTCTCGTGGACAAAGGGTTTATGAATTGGGGAGTTCAGAACTTAAAACTGAATCAGATTGAGTTTCCTCACAGTGAGAATGGAAGCCTGGGGGAGGGAGCACTTCCATGCTTATAGGAGGTGGGTTGCGGGGTGGGTATTGGGCTCCTAGAGTTCATTCCTGGGGCTGCTCAAGCGTTCCACCCTCCTTCCCCAGGGACTGACCCACTCCAGGGGTTCTGTCTCAACCAGAGGTGACTAGACCCCGAATTTGTGGTTATGTTCAACTTTCTGAATATGGATTTTCCTTCTGTCAACTAAAAGAAACTGAATCTTTGAAATATTAGGAAGATCTTTTGGGGGGGCCTATTTGAAGACTGTAGTCCAAGAGCAGAGCTTCAAGAAGCCTTGAAACAGTGCTCCAACTTTAGAAAAGTGGGGGCTCTTATATAGGCAGAGGAGTAAGTGAAAGTATACCTGGTGCCTTAGAAGTTTCAGTTAGGGTACATAGGGTTCAATGATTAACAGTTTTACCTTAGATGGAAGGAACGCATAGGAAGATAAGGTGGGGTCATGATGCCTCCTGGCACCAAGGAGTCTAGGATATAGTCTGGAAATAATGAAACTGCTTTGAAACTCCTTGAGATAAAGTTTCATCACGATGTAGAAAGAACAAGCACTGTTTTCTATCATCTTTGATCTTTAGTGTTAAAACTATGTAGATCGTAATATGTGACCTTTCCCCAGGGTTTGTGCCTTTTTGTAAAAAGAATTTTTAAAATTTTATAATTATAGTTGGCATATAATATTATATTAATTTCATATGTACAGCATAGTGATAAGACATTTATATAACTTACAAAGTGACCACCTACGTAAGTCTAGTACTTATCTGACCCATATATAGTTATTGTTTTAATGACTATTCCTTGTGCTATAATTTACATCTCCGTGACTATTTTTTTAATTATTATTTTTTTATTTAGTTTCAAGTATACAATATATTGGTTGGACATTTATATAGTTCACAAAATGATCCCCCTAATTGCACCCTCCCTCTCTTGACCCTCCACCTAGCCAATGTATTAATGCTAACTGCATTCCCTATGCTATGCTCCCTATCCCTGTGACCAT